TTTAGTCACAGTATTTTATTGCACCAGTTAGAAAGATAAGGAAACTAATCTGGATGCAATGAAATTCTGTGGTTACTATGAGGGATAATGACTATTTTTTGAAAGGAATCAATAATTAGCACATAACAGTCAAGTGGCAGAACATCTGGGGCACCAAGCACAGCTGCAGGAAGTTAGTGCCTGAATAGTAATTTTGCAGCTCAAGTAAAGTGGAACTCATTCTGCTGTTTCATTGTATGTAGTTCTACTCATACTAAGGAAATGAAGATTATTGCTCAGTGTTTACCAAGTGTCCATATTTACTAGGTGATGAATTCAAGATACTCCATTACATAGATCGAAGTATAAACTCAGAAAAATAATTACCTGTCTGTGACCACTGCTTCCATCAGGACAAATGCAACCACCCTATAAATTTTTTATAAAAGGACACAATTATTGCTCCGTGGAAATTTAAAATAAAATCTTATTTCAGATATGAAGCTGTTTAGGGGAAGAAAGGCTGTGGGATTACAGAGTAGCTGTGACCTTTCCTACATTTAGAACAAATGAGGGGACAGCCCAGCTCTGAATAGTTAATGTTTGTTTTGGAAGTTGGACTGAAGGTACATCTCTTGGTGCTATGTCTCAAGGACAGATGCTCAGCAAGACAGAAGCATCAAGGTAGTCAAGAGTGCAGAGAATCCCCATTGTGCTCTCACCAAAAAACCATACATGGAATTGAAACAGTGTTCAGTAGTGACTTCAGAGTTATTTCCGACAAATTTAATCTGAACAGAGTCACTTCATTTGCAATTTAATGCATTACATGACCAATCCTCCATGCAAAACTACTTCACTTAAACTCTGACTCCTGAGTTGAATTAGTTTAATTCCTAGAAGCAATATGGACAAGACTACTTAAAAATAAAGAAAATCCTGACCTGATTACTTGATCCACCACTGGTTGCAACAAATGATCCACCCTTTGAAGAAAACAATTATATTTTATCAAAGCATTTTATCAGAATCTGAAGTATAAAATTATGTAGTGAGAAGTAAGGTGACAAACTCTTTCTACTGCTTTCCTGCATGAACAAGCACTATCTGTTGAATTATTGTGAAAACATAAATTTGGATGAAAACTAATTAGTGACTTGATACCATACACAGGGAATGGGTATCAGGAAAACTAATTAAGAAAACTGTTAGTTCCTGGAGCTTATAAATCTGACTGCACTATTGAATTAGACTGCAAACTCTCGAGACAGAGGACTATGCTAGTGTTAAAACTACATAATGTAGTAGGGTGTCCGGGAAGCTGATGCTTGAATAAAAACAGCATCAAGTGCCACTGTGGATCAGTTAAATATCACTAAATTCTCTAACATATACACTGCTGCATCAGTACATAATCCTACAGAATATGAAAGTTGGTTCTACTTTTGTAACAGAAGTACATAACCCTGAGATGTACCTACTTACCAAATTTAAAATTAAACAATTATATATCTGGCCACTACCAGCACTAGAGCAGGACTATTTCTAAAAAAAAGATTCTAAAACTAATTTTTTTTGGCGTTTTGCAAATGACTTCTACAAAATGTTACGTCAAGAAGCACCTGTGATGCTTACCTGCTTAATGGAGAGAAGGAACAGAATAGACTCTGTATTCTGGCCCATTATCACTATTTACAACTGTGCACAATTATAATGTTACAGGGAAAATGCTGCCAAATCAAAATAGCATCCTTCAGCACAGAAAAATTAGTGGAACCTGACTGTCAGAATGAAATATAATTTATCAGAAAGCTCCTTGCAATGATATCATGCACCTGACACTGTGTTATTACCTGGACATCAGTGTGGCTGCTGTTTGAAGGAGAGGATGCATTCTGTGGGGAAATAAAAAAGGACACATTTTTCAGTAAGGGTAATAGAGTGCTATTGGGAGAGAACCTCCTAACCATAAACAGAATTCTCTGTTGTGGAAACCAGATCCTTCTTTTTGTAGGTAATACAGCAGGGAGCTGTAACAGCAGCAGTAGCTCAGAAAAGGTGACAAGGATGGTTTACCTGTACATCATAGGCTCTTCTGCTTAAAGCGTGTGATGTATCCTGGAAAAAACAGGAACATTTGCTAATTAGGAGATTAAAACTCTCTGATCAGTGATAAGCCTTCTTTCTTCCCCCCCGTATTTATTTATACCAGCTCCAGACCCTTTGTTATATACATTGAGTAGGAATGGCTTGTTGTAAAATAAAAGGTTATTTTATAGGCTACTGCTGAGTCTGACTTAAAGCTATACAATACACATGCCTGTATCCTCTCCACAACCTGCTGAGCACAGTAAATTACCAAACATTATTCTTTCTTACTTCATTATTCTATCTTTCCTATAAGATAAAATTTTAGCTGTCCTTTGTATGATACTCATCTAATATGAACTGTAGCTCAGACCAACTCTCTATGTGCTTAATGAGGAGCAGGAATTTAAGCTGCCCTCTACTTCAAAGCATGATTTGCATGTCTGTTTTTCATATATTTATATTTCCTTTAAAGAAACTCATGTAAAGAGCAAACAGCCAAGTAATTTTATTTTAATTTTTCCTTAAGTAGAAGAATATTAATTAGAACAACATATTTTCAGAAAAATTAGGCATAATTAGGACAAATTAGATAAAGTTAGGGCTCAAATCCTACAAGCAGTCAAAAAAGTAAAGAGAAAATGTTACTTACTCGGGCAACGAGAACTTTCTTCTTTGCACAACCAGAACTCTGTAAAGCAGCCAAAAGACTGTTACTACATTATAACTGGAGTTATCTGCACTAAATACTTTAGCAAAAATCTACCACTTGTCAAGGTCACATATTTTGGAAAAGGAAAATGTCTGAATATTTTTAGTATCATTAAGGGTCTTAAAAACATATTCTTTGTCTGTTTTCCCTTTATCTCTGTTCAATCAGAAGTTCCTGCCTAGGAGAGTCTCCCTCAGCTAAACCATCATGGTTTGGAGAACAATCTGTGTAATTATTTTTTATGGTTACGGTTTTTTTGGGCTTTTTTTTTTTAATTATTATTTTTTATTTTTTATTTTTTAGAATGCCCCATCCTTGGTTATAATCAAGGGAATACTAGCATCTTTGTGAGCCAAATACAAGCCAAAACAGAGGATGTTTTCAGAAGACCTCCTTACTTGCTAGAATACGTTTGATGCAATACTAAAGTAGTAGATAGGAAAAGTAGGGAAAACAGTGAAGCAGCACAGTGCATGGCTGACAACTGAAGAAAAGGCAAGTATCTGGTGACAGGAGGTTACCCTAGATGGCAGTACAACAAAAGGAGGCTGTGACAGGTGAAAAAAGCTTTTCTATGAAACAGAAAGAAGAAAGGAAAAATGTAATTTATTTATACAGCAATATATTTGCTTGGTCACAATCTATCCATGTTTATCACAGTTTCTGTTTGTAGGACAGATGGAAAGTCTTGACAGAGAGAGTATTACTGGGGATAAATGTTACTTTAGAATAACAAAGTAAAAGAGAGTTTAAATTTGAACAAGTGAAAAAAGCTGGAGGTAGCTACATGTCTCATGTACACAGGTGGTTAATTCCCAAAAAACTATCCAGTCAAAGTGCATATACTGTGAAGAAAATGTATCAGTATATATTCAGTATTGTGCAGCTTTTAATAATTGTTCAACAACCTTGAGTACAGAGAAATAATCAACTTTTTGAAGGGTACTATAAAACAATCATACACTACAGTTAGAGGTCCATGGGTCTAATGTGGAAGTGTTCAGTTACTAACACTGTCATTAATCATAAGAACTTGAAAACTACAGGAGAAACAAAGTACTTACCTGACTCTTGGCACTGTAAGTAGTGTCACTCTGGAAAAGAACAAATTATTCCCTTTTTAAAGAATTATTTAAATACAGTAACCTTACAGAAAACTAATTTTTTTCTTTTACTGCATATGGACATTTTCCACTTGTTGCTTACATTCTCCAGTCTTGACTAAATTAGTTTGAAATCCTACATTTACAATCTGAAAACTGTTTTAATAGCAACTTTAGATTGGTAGAAATGCAACAAGAAAAGCAGTGCAATATCCATCACTTCTTCTTTCATTCACTGTATATATTTAAATATTTTCTTTTAGATTTTTTTTTTTTAATTTCTGTAAAATGTATCCTTAGATTTTGGGGAAAATCTTCTGTTACTGCAAAGCCCTTGAAATACTTTTATCCATATTTCATTTTATCAAGTTAAATGCATTTAAAAGCACGAACTGTATCTGTAAACACATATATGACAACTTTCAGCAAGAAAAATGCAGTTGCTGAAACAGCTGTTACTGTGGGAACTCAGCATTCTGTCTGGATCATTCTGCTCAAAAGGCTGCATGTAGCAGTGCAATATTTTCTCATCTACACAGAAAATGTTGTGGTGAATATGTATTAGAGAAAGCACACTCACATCATCACAAGCATTGGGATTATCATCTGGGGAATATTGTGAATCCTAGAAAAACAGCAGATACCAGTTATTTCCTCACAAAATGGATTACTAAAAATACACTTTGATATTGTACTCTGAAAAGCAGAAGAGACGCTCATGCAAAGGAAAATCTGAGTTAAACTGAATTAAGAGTTTTATAAGAAAAAGAAGAAAGGAGCCAAATCCATAGCTGCCAATAGTTGCTTACAGGGAATGTTCCAATCTTCAGTAAAGAAAAAAACACCCAAACCCAATCCAAAACACAAAGAGCAGAGAAACAACCATGTTTTATTACATCTTTGAGAAAGATGATGCAGGGACTACAAATAATATGTAACTAGGAGAAAGAAAGAACTAGTTACCTGATTATCATAATAGGTGTCTGAGGAGGATGATCCACCCTTTAAAACAAACCAACCAACCAAAATCAGGATGTAGAAACCTGATTTTGAGCAGACTAACTAAAGCTTATATGAAGTGATGTGTAAGTAGAGAAATAGAATATTACTTACTTGGCCACCACCGTAGTTTTGTGAGTAGGATCCATCCTACAAAAAAAACATAAACCCTACATCAGAAGAAACTGTGATTTTCTTCAGCGACTGTAAAGCTGGAATAAACAATTGCCTAGGATTCCTTTGAACAAATACAACTTTTAAGATATCTGGGTAACTTATGAAATATGATAAGAATTCTTATCAAGAGAAAGTCAAGGTCTACCTACCTGGTTGCTACCATAATTTTGTGAGGATGATGATCCACTCTGTTAAGAAACAACAACAAAAAATGATTAGAATTAATATTACAGTATTGAAGATTGGATATTGATCAACCAAATAAAAGCTCATAAGACCCCAGTGGGAGGCAATAATAATCTAGTACTTACTTGGCTACCACCATAGTTTTGTGAGTATGATCCACTCTGTGAAAACAAAACAGCAACAGTTAAAATGCTGGAGAGCTTAATTTTGTCAGAATGCACAGAGCTATCTTAGGTAGCCGAGTTCTTTCTATGTAAGTGGAAGTTCAGGGTTGATAGAAAGTACGTTTGCAGGGAATGAGGTACAGGCTGGAGCTGGGGAGACCCTGCAGGTGTCTATACCCTCAGGAGCAAGAAAACTATTCTCTGAATTAGAAATGTTTGAAAAGTTTTTACAATGGATAACAAAGAGCTGCCTACCTGACTACCCTGTGATCCACCCTGTGATCCACCCTGTAAATCAGACAAAAATGATGCATGATTTAGACACTTGCTGTTTGGGTATGGAATATTTTTAGTGAAAGTTATGATACTTGCTTAGGAAGAGTAAGAAGAAAAGGTAGATATGCAACATGGATATAACTTCTAATGTAGTAAGCACAGACTGCCAATAGTGCAAAGGCAAAGACTATATGAGAAATATATGAAAAATTCCCCTGGTAGCATTATTACACAGAAAGCTGTGACCTGGGAGACACCATGGCCTCGAGGAATAGGTTTTAATAAAATACTCAGTATGTTTCAACGTGCCCTCTTTAGAAGAGGAATGTAACTTCTCCAAGTGAAATCAGAAAAGACATTTTTAGAAGTATTAGTGCCAGAAGTGCATAACAAGAACAGTGAAATCCTGAGCTATTGAAGTGAGTGGATATTTGCCATTCACTAAAATTGGACTGAGGCTCCATTCAGAAAAGGTAAAGGAAAACGAAATTAAAAGTATTATCTTTCAATGTTGTAGCAGATTTTAGAGCAAAATTTAAGCATCTTCCTTTAGTCTTACAAAGGAATAGTTCCTCTTTACTATTAAAAATTGAAATGCTATTATAAAATAATTACACACTTATTTAATATATTATTCTTTCAAGTTATAGTAATGTATTACACACTGTTCATTGTATGTACTATACCAAATGATAATATATTTTAGCAACACCTATGTTGTTTGTATATTTATAAATATAGTATATATTTATAAACATAGTATATATTTATAAAACACAGTATTTGTTGATTCAATTAATCGACTTCATTTTTCTATTCTTTGTAAAAACTCAGTAAGAATCAAAAGAAGTATCATGAAATAGAAATTGTCTGTTGCTGTTTTCTTACTAATTTTCAACATGACAGAGATTACTTCTTTAAACACAGTTGACACCCTTTAGGATAGTGGGTTTGACAGTTCCAACGTTGAAACTTGTAACAAAGACACATGTAGCTGTCTCTTGTTCCCTGCACAAACTGAAGCAATTCTTAAGCCAGCTTGTTCCAGGAACCTCAGGTGGCAGTCCTGAAATATTTTCTGACTTTTGACAGAAGTCCACAGAGAGGCTGGTGAGCTCCAGCCCTGATTTAAGTCGTGCTAGTTAAGCAACTCTGCAGCAGAGTTCTTCTTTCCAGAATCTGGTCTTAATGTGCTATAAAGCTAGACTTGTCACAGACATAATCCTAGGAAATAGGGGGGAAGAAATATTCCAAAGTCCCTGTGATACTCCCATGTACAGGAGGATGGTGAGTTCTAATCTCCTAACTGGTAAGATTATATGGATTTGTGCTGCATGAATCTGAAGTTGTTGCTAATTGAGTTAGTGGCAAAACTAATTTTGGATGCATCTTAAAGCAAGAGGAGGAAGACCTTTTACCTGGTGGCAGGGATTGCTATCATATGAAACACCCTGTTAAAAAAATAAACAAACAAAGGTAAATGCCCAAATTTTCATTTTTCTGTCGAAGTAATTAGCTTTCCTAAAATTTCTTCTATGAGAATGAATGTAACCAAACTCAACATAAAACTTTACAGAGGGTGAGTTTAATTTTACTTAATCCTTTAAGTGTGTGGCTTTACCCTTGTGTCACTTCCAGCCTCAGATACTCAGAAGCACCAAGACACAATCACACAGGCGAGCAAAGGAGGACTTCTTGTGAACCACATGGAAGGAGAGGTAGGCTGGCAATTGATATCTCTCTGTATCATCCTAATTCCTCTTAGTAATCATCCTTGGTCCTCTTAATAAAGATTAACTGTTGGTGAGGTTTTTTTGGAATCAGCTGTTACTGATGGGTGACTGTCTGTCTCTGTGTGACCGTTTATCTCAGTGTGACCATCCATCTCTTGCTAGATTCACCCACCACAGATTTTAGTCAAGGCTGCTGCTTAATGCCCTTAATTTCCTGTTTCAGGTATATTTTGGCTACAGCTGGTCTTCCTGTTGGGGTAACAGGATGAGAAACAGTACCCAGAAAGAGTTCTACTCTGGCTGTCACACTGCCATTATTACAGCACAGATAAGTCAAGACTTTCACCTGTGACACAGCTTAGGTCGAAGGAACACATTTGTCAGTGTTTATCAGTTTATTGCTGTTATCTGTGTCCATGTTGTACTGCTTCTTATGATGCTTTCACATGCATTTCCACTCGTGCTTAACTTACACCAATCCTAATATTTCTGCTAAATACTTGTGAAAATGTCTGCATTTATAATTATCTTTAATTCTTTCCTCAATACATGTATTTAATCATAGGTTTACTACATTCATGATCCTTTCACCTAGGATCTCATTACTGAAGACATTGTCTTTACTGTTGTAGGACCTACACAAGTTGAAATGGAACCAGGATGAAAACTACTAATTTAATTCCGGTTCCATGAGAGCCACTCTCTAATCCTATCTTTTTCTATAGAAAATAAGTGGAACAACACCCAAAAATGCCCAAGGAAAGATTTGTTTATTAAGTGAAGAGATTAATCACTTTTCCATCTTCAGTGTGCAACTCTAAATGGGAAAAGCACTTCGTACCAGTTACAATGACAAACAATATCAGCCTTTCTTGATCTCTGTGCTAGATAAATCCATGTAACAATGAAAACAATCTACTGAAACTTACAAACATTAGAGAACTTGTTGAAAAATATGTCACTACTGGAAAAAAAGTTGTGTCTAGTTTTGAAATAGTTTGAAGAAAAAGGAACTTACTTGTCCACAACCACTGCTGCCACTTGAAGAAGATCCACTCTGCTTGGGAAAAAAAAAAAGAACAGCCTGTAATCCCAATATTAATTTTCATTACTTTTCTTCATTTCAAATAAAGAAAAAAATTTTCAAGTGTTTTAGATGCCCGGCTGCTTAAAAGGTAAAAGATCATTTACATCCAACTGTGAATTTTCTGGTAAATTATTGTGGCTGTTGAACACTATAGTGCATCAGAAAGCTGACACCTACATGCACCCCTTTCTACATGGGAAACAACTGTTTCTGTGTCTATTATTGCAAGACTCATGAAAAAAATTCACAGCTCTTATTTGAAATGGCTACTTACTACATTATTTTAAGAAACAAACCACAGAATTCTCAATACATATATGGCAACATCACATATATGCTGTATAATGAGTGGTGACAGACTGACACTTACCTGGCCATAGGAACTGCCACCTTGAGGCTGGTAACCCTTCAAGAAAGACAAGAAATCATTTGCAGACAGAGCTGTATACTCTCAGCAAAGATGCAACAAAATCATAGAACACCAGAGAGAAAAGCCCAGTTCCAGTAAAAGTTCCTCTGTACTAAGTTCTTTTTTCCTTCATGGTATTTCAGTGGTACAAACCAAAATCAAGGATGACTTGGCAACACCAAGAAGGAAAAAGACCCAACCACACCCCAAAGTCCATTTACAAGACTGGCTCCTACAGAAAAGTTCAGTGCAGTTCAGAAAAAGAGCCTCACCTGGCTGTAGGACTGGCTGCCTTGGGAACCCTTCAAAAAAAGAGAAGGCAGTTATCAACATGACAAAGAGGCTTCTTTAAAGAGAATAATGTTTATGAAAATACAGCTGCATGGGGGTTCTCAAAAAGCACAAAGGAGACACAGCAGTATGCTGGCAGCTGGGCTGCAGAAGCCATGGCTCAAACCCAGATGAAGACTGCCAAGGGAAACATCACTCTCCAAAATCTGCCAGTCATTCTGGTCACAGAGACAGCAGGGAAGAACTTCCTACAGAATATTTAGTTTACTTACCTGGCCATAGGAACTGCTGCTGCCTGAGAAACTTGGCCCACCCTAGGACAAGGACATAATTAGGTTACTTGTCTTTTGCTAAGGAACTCTGCCTGCACTAGGAAAAGGAAGCAACTGCTTCCTAAAGCTGTGCAGGGCTGTATGAGGAGCAGGACGTGCTCCTGGCTCTCAGGAGGGTGCTGAGTGCCATGATTTCACACATTGGGATTCCAGATAAATAAGTAGCACATGGATAACACGCACTTTCAGAGACAATGTGCTTTAAAGATCAAAATCTGAGGGATTGCTAAGTGCTTTTGCAGTGCCATGGCTCTCCATTTCTCAAAGGCTGCATTCTGACTGGTGATTGATGCTTACCTGGCCATAGGAACTGCCACCTTGAGGCTGGTAGCCCTGTATGAAAGGAATTATTGATTCATAATTACTGTATTTGTGAAGCAGGTGCCCCTCTAGAGTTTGCCTCTTTGTGGGGGAAAAATAGCCAGAATAAGATAGAGAAAGTACAGACTCTGCTGCTTAACTAGAGTTATTTTGATACTTCCTATTCAGGATGAGGAGCTGTATTTATTGAATGAGAACTGTAAAATAGTTTTACATGTGTCTCAGACAGGACTTGAGTCTTATGAAGGTTTTCCAGGAAGGCATGCAACATTTTCTTATTATGTTTATTTTGCCTGCTATTTATTGGACACTGGAGTTAGATGGCTAATGGTAGGTGAATAATGATTTCCTATCTTTGTAATTTTCATGGGTCCCAGTTGCACAGTTCCCTTCCTCTGAGGGAAAATAAAGATGAAAAATATTTTTTAAAAATTAAGGAAGAATCTTAAAAATATATAGATTCATAAAATGTAAATAAACCCAATGCAATTAAAATTAGCAGGTAAAGTGAATTAGCCAAGGATGACAGTACTTTTTGAAAAACTTTCAATAATATAAAATGATTGTGGGTATAATTTGCTGATGCAATCTGCCTTTAATATAATCTCATAAAAGAGCAGTTGTTTCACGTACATGCAGATATGTGCCACAGCTGTCTGGGACAGTTACAGAGATGGGGATTACCAAACAGAATTTGAAGTATCTTGTCTATTTATGCTATCTGACATAGAGATCTTAAAAAAAAAAAAAAAAAAAATCATATTTATCTCAGACCTGCTTTAATTGACATAAAAATTGTAAAGGGAGGTAAATATTCATCATTTGAAGGCTCTATGACCAGATCTTCATGCAACTGAGAACCTGTCCCAGTGTTGTTTAGTTCCTCAGCGCTCTTTCTCTGTACTGAGAGCAAAAGAGACACCAAAGAATTGGCTATAAACTTTAAAGTTCCATAAATTTTATGGAACTAAATTTTAAAGTTCCATACCCATGGAAAAGACAAGATAACTGCAGAAACCTATGATTTGTGCTGATATCCCTGAAAAACAAACCAGTTATTTTCACAACAAAAGTTTTGAAACAGATCTGAGAGTTGTGGGGTTTTTGTTGTTGGTGATGTTTGTTTTTTCTTTTTGTTTGGTTTCTGGTTTTTTTAAGGACTGAATATAAATTGAAAACAGTATTTTAAGATTGGCCAAATTTTGCAGGGCCGTGGCACTCCGATTTCTCCAGTGCTGTATTGTGACTGACACTTACCTGGCCATAGGAACTGCCACCTTGAGGTCTGTAGCCCTGCAAGAAAGGCAAGAAGTCATTTGCAGACAGAGCTGTGTACTCTCAGCAAAGATGCAACAGAAAAGCCCAGTTCCAGGAGAAGTTCCTCTGTACTATGTTCTTTTTTCCTTCATGGTATTTCAGTGGTACAAACCAAAATCAAGGATGACTCAGCAACGCTAAGAAGAGAAAAGGTCCACCCACACCCCAAAGTCTATTTACAAGACAGGCTCCTACAGAAAAGCTCAGCTCATTTCACAAAAAAAGCCTCACCTGGCTGTAGGACTGGCTGCCTTGGGAACCCTTCAAAAAAAGAGAAGGCAGTTATCAACATGACAAAGAAACAGGGAAGAACTTCCTACAGAATATTTAGTTTGCTTACCTGGCCATAGGAACTGCTGCTGCTGCCTGAGAAACTTGGCCCACCCTAGGACAAGGACATCATTTGGTTACTTGCCTTTTGCTAAGGAACTCTGCCTGCACTAGGAAAACGAAGCAACTGCTTCCTAAAGCTGTGCAGGGCTGTATGAGGAGCAGGACGTGCTCCTGGCTCTCAGGAGAGTGCTGAGTGCCATGATTTCACACAATGGGATTCCAGATAAATAAGTAGCACATGGATAACACACACTTTCAGAGACAATGTGCTTTAAAGATCAAAATCTGAGGGATTGCTAAGTGCTTTTGCTGTGCCATGGCTCTCCATTTCTCAAAGGTTGCATTCTGACCGGTGACTGACTGACAATTACCTGGCCATAGGAACTGCCACCTTGAGGTCTGTAGCCCTGCAAGAAAGGCAAGAAGTCATTTGCAGACAGAGCTGTGTACTCTCAGCAAAGATGTAACAGAAAAGCTCAGTTCCAGGAGAAGTTCCTCTGTACTATGTTCTTTTTTCCTTCATGGTATTTCAGTGGTACAAACCAAAATCAAGGATGATTTGGCAATACCAAGAAGGAAAAAGACCCAACCACACCCCAAAGTCCATTTACAAGACAGGTTCCCACAGAAAAGTTCAGTGCAGTTCACAAAAAGAGCCTCACCTGGCTGTAGGACTGGCTGCCTTGGGAACCCTTCAAAAAAAGAGAAGGTAGTCATCACCATGACAAAGAGGCTTCTTTAAAGAGCATAATGTTTATGAAAATACAGCTGCATGGGGGGTTCTCAAAAAGCACAAAGGAGACACAGCAGTATGCTGGCAGCTGGGCTGCAGATTGTCTTACTTGTAGCAAAAGCTGTGACTCAAACCAAGATGCAGGCTGCCAACCTTGAGTATTTTTGATGTTGAGTGCTGCCCTGATCCCTACAAGTCATACCTACCCTTGTGAATCGTTTTTCTGATTGCATGTAGTGCTACAGACAATATTGACAGACAATATTTGCCTCCCTCCCATCCCCAGCTCCTACAAGAGCAGGAAGTCTTGAAGAGCCTTCATACTTCAGTTCATACTATACTAGTCTCAAGTTTTAGTTTGCAACAATTTATGATGACATTATGTTAGTATTTGTGGAATTCACACACTTGTTTTTCTCATATGTAGCTTTATCTTTATGGCTTTAAGTAATGCTGAAAGACATTGCACATCGGTCCATGATTATGATTCTTCCTCATTCTTGCTGTGGGTAAGCAGCTACCCTTTATGTCTTTTGCAATTTGAGGTCTAACATACTTAGAATCTGAATCTACCAGTCTGGGGTTGATGGTGTGGTAACAAGCCTAGCATCACTTTTCCTGAGTGCCATGACCTTTGTGCTCCTTTCAGAGAGCACATTGAGTGGAATTCAGTCATTTCAATTCAACCTATCACACAGGGAAATACATTTGTGAGCATTCTGAACAAATTAGTTGAACACCAATACCAGATGATAATTTTAGGAACAAAAGTCAGAGAAATAGAAATATCTGCACCCTGTGAATTAAATTTTAAAATGCAGAAAATAATTTATTTCTGAGTTGTGCTGGCCCTGTTTTAGTGAAGTCTAGAGGAATATTTGTAGCCCCCTTTAAGTTCATTTACCTGAAGGTAAGTGCTGCTGCTGCTACTTTGCTGCCTTTGTCCACTCTACATTGGAAAAAAAAGTTACTTATTTTTAAGAGGAATTATGTACTAAGACATTTCAAGAAGAAACTCTATCCTTTTACCTACTAGATAGTTTGAAAGTCATAAAGAGTTCATTACACCTTTTCTTACTTGATGCCATCTCCATGTGATACAAAATGTATATAAAGGTCCTTCACAAATAAAGTGCTAAAAGTATTTATATACTTTGATATCATGTTCTTAAAGAAAATTCATTGTATAATACATCATTGTGTCATATTGAGGTATTTCAAGTGAGTTTAAATAATTCTGCCTTTCAGTGGTACCACACAAACCATTAAACTCATATCCACTTGTATTCATATTATGACTGAATTTTCATGACTAAGCACAACAAAATTCTGACAAAGGCTTTGTCAAAACATGAATCGAAAAAGCCACAGTTACAATTAAACCAAAGGAAAAGTCACTGCAGAAAATATTTTGATTCCCATGAAGTATGTGGATTATGAGCAGAATCAAATATAATTTATATCTACATATTGAAAACAGTTAATCTGTGTCATCAAAACACTGTACTTTTAAAATCAGAAAAAAAATAACAAAGGGAATTTTATTCCTTTCTCTGCCAGTGTTCATCACTACTCATGAAAGAATATAATGCTATACATTTTGAAAGCAGTGATTTTCAAAAGACAAATGTCATCTGGGATAACCTGCCACTTACTCCGCAGGGAAAGTGAGAACTTGCTGCAGTCTAACAGACTGGCATACGAAGAAAGGGAAGCCTAAACCATTAAGAGTTAAATGTAGGTTAAAATTGCAAAGGACCCAGAAAAAACCCAGCTGCAATGGTCTTTAATCAGCAACCAAGTAAGATATCCACTTTGCTGTAGTCACAAAAACACCCTACTCCACCACTGTAGTTATATCTAAACTATCCACACTTATTTGTTCTCTAAGAGAGGAATAATTACTTAGTTTACTGAGACAAAGTTTCATTTAAAACTCAAGTGTAATGGAGAAGAAATGTCTACCTGTACTATGATCCTTGTAGCAGAACTTCCCAAACTCTGAAAAAAAAATTCAGAAACAAAAAAACATAATACAGCACATTTAATTGTCTTGTTTGAATGCAATGCACTTGAACAGAAAATACGAAATTTATATATACCATTTAGTTTGTGAAAATAAAGAGAAAGGTCATATGTGTGATGTACTGAGTATCAGTTTTTAACACCTAGCATTGAACTAGTTTATTCTCAGCTCTGAAAGCCTGGGCTGGCAGACTGGCCCTACTAAGTAATTTTCTACACTTACATCTGCTTCTGTTACAACTTAAATGGGGAGCAGCAGAGCACAGGCCATGCCCTTTTTGCACTAGCACTCAGCTTGGCTGTTCCAAGCGTGGTGAGTGAAGCTAACACACCACCATCACTGCACTGGACATACATCACCACGCATGCAAATCCGATTCCTGATCCAGCCATCTGTTTGCTGAGTTCTGGGGCACGAGGGACAAATGCAAAAGCATAACACACCACCCTGAAAAACTGGCTTTAATCCATAAGAACTGTAATACTAATATGGAGATAACAGGAAAAAAGCATGCTTACCTGGGGGAAGGTATGACGCTGCAAGTGAAAATAAACAATTTTTACTTATTGTGCACGAGGGCTTGTCCAAACAGAACATTGCAGCAGAGAAAGACAAAAAGGGCTCAGCCAAATGTGAAAGAATGATATAAAAAGGATAGCGTAGAACAAATGCATCTTAATCTTCATTCATGTTGTTCCAACATGTTCTATTACAAATTTAACACCCATAAGATACTACATCATACCAACTCACTTTAAGCTCCGAAAGGCTAAACTTAGTTTCAACTGACTGTAGGAGTTCCAAATAAGCACAGTGGAAATTTAATAGTTTAAAAATTAGAATGGAAGCGAATATACAAAAGAAAATTGCAATAGAAATGGAAACTATTCAGGAACACAGAGGCTGAATGCATTGAGAGACCTGGAATCTGCAGCTAATCCAGTCCCTCTGCAAGTACAAACATCAATCACAGAACCACGAAATTTGTACCTATCTTATAACTGGCTTTCACTGAAGATAGCTATGCACATAGGGTAAACCCTGCCTGCCAAAGAATTGTCTCCATACACCAGGAGTCTTTCTGAAAAATTAAAAATGTAGATGTTTGAAGGCTTTTTGAGTCAGAATTCTCAGTATTGTAAAGAAAAACTGCTTACCACAGGTGGAAAAGGGTTGCTGTTGGCAACGACCACTACCTATAGAGAAATCAGAGGAAGCTGTTTACTCATCATAGTGTGTATTTAAATTTTTAAATGTTAGAAAGATGAAGAATATTGAAATATCTATATTTACAAACTCTGATAATAATGCTATGGATGATACTTTTATAGAAAAATTTAACACCCATTACCAAGCAAAGAAGAATATCTATGTATACATGGTTTACACAAGACTATAAGGAAATAAAAGACTTGCTCCCGACCACACAGTGACTCAGCTGTAGAGGCAGAAGCAGCATTTCATGTATTGTACCATATGCATTGGTCTGTGCGTCCTTTCTGATCTTCAACTTTCCACCCCAAAGTAGAAGATTAATTTATTTTGTCGTTATTTGACATTATGCTAAAAAAAGAGACTTGATATTTTTATTGAAAAAAAATACTGTCAAATGCAAACACACTGAGGTGTTAATGTTTTCTCACTAGAAGCTCTCCCCACCTTCTTTTTTTTTTTTTTTTCAAATTGGAAACAGTTTGTATTATCCATTGGTGTGAAAAGGAAAAGGAGAGTTGATGCTCTCAGAAGTAAAGAATTCTGATATAGAACAGGAAGAAGCATTAAAAAATAATTGAATGGTATGTTTTAAATTCTTCAAACAATAGTAAATGTAAAATTTACTATTGTAAATTTACTATAGTGAAAGTATAATTATGAGTCAAATTCAACAACGAAATGAATTCTATTGATTTCACTTTCTCTGAGCCACACTTATTCTCAACCCCTATATGAATAATAACTCCATAATCTATATACTTAAAAATCCTAATTACATCACAATTGCTATCCTAACTTTTTAAAAAGAAACATGTATTTTATATACAATTGGGTCAGCTATCGGCAAGAGCCACCACAGCACAGCTAGTTAGTGTAAGGCTTCTAAGTACCAAAACAAATCAAATCATGGGAATCAATCTGGGTTAAAACCTTGAAAAATCCTAACTGAAGTAAGAGGAGTTATGACAAATTAGAACTGTAAGAGTTTTCCCTTTGGAAAGGAGAGCTTACCTTCTTAGTGGAATCAGAGCTGCTTGAAGGGACAGACTGTAAAGAATACAGAATCCATTTTTTGCTTAGGTAAATGTATGGCACATTAACTACAGCACTATTTTCCACAAGAGTGTTTAGCTAACATGATTCCCTTGAAGCACCAAACAAAATAATATTCTGAAGAAAAATATGAATGTATTGGCAATTACTAAATGAACAACTGAAATAAATCAAGTAGCTTGATTTTGTTTTGCTAAACACCCAATTATTTTGCCAGTTTCATAGACCACTGTATAAAAGCTGCAAATGTTTCATTTAATGTCAAATTGGAAGTTTGTTTATATAATTGCTAGGAAAAAAATTAAGCTCTTCTAACTTCATCAAAAAGGAAAACAGCCTAAACTCATCCCCTCAAAATTAAAAACCCTGCAATTGCAACAGCACCTGGGAAAAAATGGAATAGACCATCAGAAGACAAATGTTTTAAATGAAGCATAAAATAACGTGCAGTGAAGTTTTCCATTTCATTAACCAGTATGTACAGTTACATAGGCAAAAGCCAGAAAAAATGCCTTTAAATCTTAGTAACTATCAAAGAAAGCACTGACTTCTAGAAAATCATAACAAAAGCAACTGGTGTCCATTTTCAGAATAAATATAATTGAGTTTTGGCGCAAAACAGAACAAAATAACTTCTAACAAACTGGATATAACAACATACACCAAACATAACTCATCTGCTGAAGTCGTTTTCAGATAATGTTACTGAGCCATTTGAAGACAGTTCATCTTTATCCCCTTCCATAAATTTAATTATTGTTTGGTAAAAGTTGGGCATAACTGCTTAGCTTCTGAATACCTTAGGAAACCGAAAACATGTTGGAAAACACGTAGTTACCTGGCCATAGGAAATACCACTGGATGGGGATGCACTCTGAAATAAAAACATGAGAACAGATATTTATTTATATCAAAATTTGTTAATTATATCTAGAAATCATCCTTAGATGTACATTTCAAATGAAGCTGATTTTACCTGGACTTGAAATAAATCTAGGGCAATAGTAAATTATCCTGAACTTGCTTAAAGATCACTGAGGTAAAAATTTCCCAAATTCTCCCATGGTCATAAGATTACTGTTGCTCTATCAAAAAAGCAGTTTACACTTACATATTAAACAAAGATATTTAATGTTTAGGAACTAATATAACTAATGATGTATTTAAAGCTGAGCACATGATTAAGCAGTTTCTTGGCTGGGGTTTCAGTTCCTGACAGGCATTAGAGAGTGTGTTCCTCTTCTGATAAATATTTTTACTTGCTTTTGTAATTTTAAAAATGTAAAATATATCAGATTTTAAAATAAACCTGTTTTCATGTGAAAACGAAGTAAATGAGATTGACAATAGAAATTTCTCAACTAACTAAAGAATTGCTGGATTAATACCTAAAGTTTGAAAAAAAAATACCAAATAGTATTGCACAATATGCAATATCCAAAGACAATTACTCTGAGTGATAAAAAGCATTACACAGTAAGAATTCTGACATTTTAGTAGGCTAACAAATTAAGTGTTTGCAATAGGTGATGAGCAGCCCCTGTGGCATAAATGATTATGCTTTGAGGAACTGACAATGTAACACCTTTTAATTTTGGCTTTTAAGATCAGAATAATACCTCAGACTAACACTGTTTTCCTTGCTATATTTAGGAAGACTAATGTAGCTCTGCAAAAGAGAATCAAATGTGATTTGCAATAAGGAGATGAGTTAAGCAGCGTAGGAAGAGACAATCAGCAAAAACATCTGTAACCAGCTTACATCTCTGCAGGCTTGTTGACTGTATGTACCAGCAGCACCTCCCTGAGAAAAAAAACAAACCAGTTATTTCTCATCTGTAGTTGCTTGAGAAGGAAAGTCACACTTCAGACACCCTCAGTGCTGACTGATCCTTGTGTAAAGAATAGATGATGAGGAGAGAATTGTAGTCTCCACTGTAAATGTGTGAACACCCACATGTGAACATAAGAGCCCTTTGTCTATCAGTGATTATTTAGTGGTACTTGGGAAACATTTTAAAACAGGTACCGTCAAGACAGGACTTTAATAAATTATCAAGGTTTTGTATAATGCTCGTAATTCAAATATACTATGTATGTCATATGCACATGCATGTAAAAATCAGGAAGCAAAAACCCAAAAGAAACAAAAGCTAACATCTTCCTGATAGATAGTCAATAAAATATCAAATGTAAACTTTCAGCATAAATAGCAATAGTTCCTTTTTTAAAGTAAATCTCAATTGTTATTATTATTACAATCAAGTTTCCCCAAACCTGTAATTTTTTCTTTGCAAAAACCCAATACGTGTTGTGATGAATTAATTTTATATTATACAAGTACTGATGACATGAATGTTTTACATTTTTGCACTGTTTCATTTACTTTTCAGATTTTTTTTTTCTTTTGATGAAATGTTTGGATTAAATAGAAATTTTTCATTTAAAAAATAAAAGCCTTATTTTGAAAGTGCTGAAAGGAAAACAAAATAATTATACATATATTTGCGTCCATACAATTAGTCACTATCTTGATAAAAATGCTTCAGGTAAGTCTTTGATCTTTCCAGCACATTCATTACATTGCACTGTTGCATCTTTCACCTATTTCTGGATGACTGGCTTGACCTGCCCAGGATTCATAACTTCACAGGTATCTCTGCTGCCTGAGAAATGAGAAACTGAAATAACCTTAGTTCTTGCACAAGGCTGTGTGCAGACAGATTTGCACCAGTCCTGTCTTGAGCAGAAGGAAGAATAGATAACCTTGTACGATGAGTGTAATGAAAGTGCCACAGATAACCCCTTCTGGTCCTTTTTTTTTCACGATTCTATAATCTACATGTTTCTATTTAACTGTTTAACTTCTCTGTTTTCCAACTACTCAATATCATTGAATAAACTGTAATATTCATCCTCTAGATCTCTCTTCATTATTCTCTCCCACATGAACAGTCATATTAAATAATGCCATTGAGGGCTAGGAGTTACTACAAATATGGTTATGCCAGGGGCAAAAGAGTAAATGGAAGAACAGTGCTTACAGGGCCACATCCACTGTTGCTTATTGTGTAGACTACTCCACCCTGAAATAAAAGCAGAAGTCAATTATTTCCATGTAAAAAAAAAAAGAGGGAAAGACAGAAAAAAACCAACAAACTGTGCTGTTCATGGCACAGAGAGCTGTGCAGCTGGCAGTGGGTATGTGCTAGTAAGGAATAAACAAGCACAGAGGTTACCAGTTCACCAGCAACTGCCTGTAACAATTCTAATTTAGCACAAGACATTAGTCATCGTCTGGATTTCATATAACTTCCACATAACTCTGTCATTAGTCATGAAACCTTTCAAAATTTTACTAAATGGTTCATATTTTATAAAAAATTAATAACTTTGGTTGCTTAGTGACAAGGTGAGAAACTTGGCTCTTAGAAAAGAATATGTATTATATATGAAAAAATACACTGCAGAAAATTGGTTTTTAGCATATACATCAAAAGAATTTGTATTTCTCAGTATCTGGTAATTCCAGTTACAAGTAGTAAAGATTGAAGAAATGGAATATTACTAGGTTATTCACTAATAACTACTAGTCAGTAGTAAGAAATATATCCTTGAGAAGCTCAGTTCAAGAAACTGGAGGCATACCAGAAAGCATCTAAGAGTTAAAGGGTAAATAGGCAAATTAATGTAGACAGTAATGTAGTGAAGATAATTAACTAAAAACCAAGTATATATTTCTATGATGAATGAAGTGGAAGTGTCAACTGAAAATGCAGACAGTACATACCCCAGAAGTTTAAAAAGACTAACTAGACAGGGATTAGACCCCAAATTTTCAACTGCAAATATAATCCAGATGTTATTGGAGCTTTAAGATAGGCATGAATATCTAGGCAAGTTTGGGGAAATTTTGCAAATTCTTGTGGAAAAGACAGTGAAACACAAGTATATTTAAATCTTTCATTTTGACTATTAAAAAAGACGTGAAAAAAAGGAAAAATGCCTGATGAATTAAGAATAGGTATAGTTTCATTTTCATTATGCCAGATGTCACTAAAACTATGAAATAAATGATTTGTGACTGTGTTTGTATGCACAGATGCACACACAGGTAGGCAACTTCTAGGAAGATGGAAGGAATTTTTTTTTTCCTGAAAAGAGTCAGGTTAATGTGTTGACAGAAATGATTAAAGTGTGAAATCAGAGGTAGTGAAGCAGCTTGTAGGTAAAAGTACTGACAGCAAGCTATTGAGTGAAGTCATTGAACTTAGTCCAGGTACTGAACACACTGTTTACTGGATAAATAACTCTGCAGTTCTGTGATAACTAGCAGAGAAGATATTTCAGTACAGCGCTTAATCACCTCAGTACTCTGTAGCTACACCATTTTAGTCATTCAAGGTTATGAAAGGAAAACATACAAATGCTGGAATTTAGGGCTCATACCTGACTGCCTGAATAGCTGCTCTGAGAGGAACCTGAAGGTCCAACCTGTAAAGAAACCAAAATGGTATTTAATATTTTGCAGGAAAATTATTTTATGTAAGTGATTTTCAGGAAAGAAAGTTCTACTTGGTGGGAAAAGGAAAAACCCAAGAAGTAACTACCTAAGACTTCATTTCACCACCTGATACTATCAAAATTATTGCAGAGATCTTTCAAGCCAAATAATTAAAACTATACTGAGCCAGCTGTTATAAGTAACATAATTCTACTGTTTGCATCCTTTTTTATCAGACCTCATACAGTTTTGTCCATCACTGAGGAGGGAAACCCACAGTGTCACAAGTAGACTAAAGCAGACTGATATAACTATGCAATCACTAACATATTTGCTGTAAAAAAGCAAAGAAGAAAAAGAGGCTTCTTCACCGAGCTGCAACTGATAGTTTTCAGAGGAAAAAAATCAAATTGCTATATTTTATATCTAGATCATGATTTGCAAAAGGCAAAGTTTTAGGGCTGTTGGAATAAGTGATCTTGAACAGTGAGCAACCACTATGAGTAAAAAGTGAAAACAGGAAAAAGAAAAGTTCTATTAGAAAGTTACTTCAGATTAGCTAGAGAGAACCTGCAGAAGGAAATGATACGGCTGACAGCCACTTAAAAGGTTTTGGATTTTAATCAACAAAGGTGAATTGCCAAAAAGGAAATTAAATTGAGTGACAAGAGGGATAAAGAAGTGAGTAGAAGCAGTTTTTGATCAGGTTTTAAGATCTTGGGCAGTTAGTAGCATGTCAATGTCTTTAGAGAAAGAATATTTACCATGATGCATCGGCCTTGTGTCGTGTAAGTCCCTCCACGCTGTAAGAAAGTACAGGTTCCAGTTACTGCTTATTGAATGATGTACAAATACCAAGTTACTTTAAACAGGAAATCAACTGAATTCACATTCATGGTCTGAATGAAGAAATCAAATGTTCAATATGATCAATATATTGCTGATAATATATTACACACTTTAACTATCTCATCTGAGAACTAATGGTAACTAATTAAAAATAACAATACCTTCAAAACTGAATACAAAAAATGAAAGCATAAATGAGACCTCCTTAGGAAAGTAATTGGAATGGTACAATATAATCTTCACACTGCAAGTATGGAAACAAGGGGACCAGGAGGACAAGAATTCTCAAAACTGAGGTAACTAAAAATTGGGAAATTGAAGAAAAATTGCTCTTACCTTGTTACATTCTATTTCTATCATAAGCTGTGGGGGCAACAAAGAAAAAAAGAGGAAGCATTTCCATATTATTTATTGCAGAAAAAAGCACATCCTATTATAGTAAACAGGAAACACTTTTGGTGAATGTGAGACTAGAGACAGGCTTTCACTCTTCTAGATCACAAGTTCATAAATCAGTGCTGCTACAGTCAAGAACCAATACAGTAGCTTTGAACAGGCTTTCTTTACTTAAGCTGCCAATCATGTTAAATATGTTTCATATAAGCATAATTCTTGGCAAAAATATTTAGCAAACCTAAAGGTCGTTTAGCAAATCTAAGGCCATGCTGCACAGTTACAGTTCCCAGGGACTATAGAACAGCACAGTTAAGAGCAGCACAGTACACCAAAAGTGCAGTACAGCTCTCCTTATGACCAACTTTCTTTTCTTTTTCTTTATGGTATGGGTTGTTTTCATAACTAGATTATTACCTCTCCTATTTCTGTGGGAGAAAAATAGTATTTGCTGTAATTTTTCATCATTTTAGTAAGAGGATTAGGCAGATTAAAATTATTGAAAACATGTCATGATTTTGGCCATCAGTTAATGACAAAAAATGTATGTCTTGTATCAAGTCAAAGATACTTTAATTTACTGAATTAATTTCTAGTATGCAAATACACTCAAAACATACCTTCCTTTTACTTTTTTCTGTCCCATTTACTGACTCAGAATGTGTAGGTGTGAGAGTTTTGCTTTGAATTCCAACCCAAAAATTGTCTAGATTTTGAACAACAGTTGCACTAGAAAGAAAACAAAATAATAATTCTTTTTCTATCAAAATATTTCAGTATAAAATACCAATAAACTCTCCTCCCCCCTTGCCCCCAGCCAAGAAAATCCAGTGTATTTGTGTTTTAGGGGTATACAGCATAAGTTTCACAGAACACTTTTCCAGTGACTTGTATTATCATCTGACACAATTTTGAAGATAAATGAACCCGATGCTGAGACAAGCAGAAGAGGAGTGGACACTGTTTGAAGAAACACTGACCTCAGTGAAGGGTATCAGCTCAAATGCCTGAGTTGTCACAACTCTTTCCTATTCTAATAATCTATATCTGTGATGATGAATTGATTTTCATGGCATTAATGAGCGGAAGCAATTGTGGGTTTGTGTTCTTTTGCCCGTTCTTTGTATTCCTCAAGACATAATGAAGCAAGGCAAAGATGACCCTTTCATAAATTCGCACTTCAAACAACTCAAGCTGTCAAATATTTAGATATTTCCCAATTACATCAAGTGTGTGGGTTTTTTAGACCACGTGGTACTTTTACAAGCTTCAGATCTGCAAGAGAAGTAGCATTAAAAGCAGAATAAATGAGTCTTTTACTGTTCTCAGGAGTTTCAGCAGTTAGTTCATGGGTCATAAACTCATTTTCAAACTTGTGTTAGAAGAATTTACATCAATCTACTATTCTTCCACTGTTCAAAATGAAAAAAGTTGTAACTGAGCAGAGCCTGAACTTCATGTATTCAGGGAACCAGTTACATTCATTTTATTGCTGTTGTAATTAAAGAGGTCAAAGTATAAAAACTGGTTACTCAAAGATCCATTAATAACACCGTGTTTAATGGAATTATTCACATATATTAAGATCTGTAGGACAGTGTTTACCTTTTACACTATATCTTGAAATGGAAATCATATTATTCAATAGACATAGTGGGAAGTTATGACAAACTATGAAAAAAATCATGATGGCAGCCAGACAAGAACATCAGAAACAGAAACACAGGTCCATCTCAAAATAATCCACAGAAATGAAATTTCCAGGGGAAAAAATAAATAAAAAAGAAAAATAATTATTTACATAAATTGAATCTCTCCAACATCAGGTGGAGCAATCCATGTTGTTGTAACTTTCTGTTTCACATCTGAATTTGCATGACTTATTGCTGAATTCTGCAATTGAAAATAAATACACATAATTACATAAGATGCAAAAGTGATTTTACCTATATTATTAACAGAACTGTCTCTACTACAACAGGTAACACTGATGTCCTCCTAAAAAAGCCAGGTAGTTTCTACATTTGATTCATAACACATATAGAGGATACATGTAGTTCTTGAAAAAGTCTGATTTTTTAAAACCTTCTGAAGCAGCTTTGACATATAAAAAATTGTCACTATTTCTATTATTTAAAAGTAATTTAAAGTATTCCAAAGACTGAATACATACCGTCATATTATGACATTCCAAGCCTTTAGTGTTTGGATCTGTAATTTTAAAAGTACCAACAGGAGTATCTCCATCTATTTCTCGAGCCTGTAGATTAAATCCTTTAAAACCAGCTCCTTTAAGTGCTTCTAGAGTCACTGTGAAAAGAGACAGTTTGAGAAATTTAAGTTTCATATGCAACTAAAACCTCCTAAATGTGTAACATCTCATTTCCTTCACTCCAAGGAGCAAGACTGCATGTGTACAATTTTAAAAACCAGTTAAAAAGTTTTTCTTAATTATAAGGAGAATGAGAATAAAGGAAAAAATTTCGAGAGGGGCTGCTGTGTAAAGAAACATGAAATTTTTGATTTACTGACAATTTTAAAAGGAATTCTGCTCTACCAAATGATGAGTGGCCCTGCTGAACCAAAGGTTATTTATTTTCTGTCTAATTAGGCCTACAAAGTCAAAATATCTACAGAAAAAAAAAAAAAAAAGAATTGCTTTTCTTTCCAGCTCTGTTTTAAAAGCAAAGATTAACTTTTTCCTAAGGCTGAACTGCAGACACAATTTCATTAAAATGTATTACAACTGGAAAGAGAGAAACTAGACAGTTCCACTTTCATGTTCTATATTAAGTACAAAAAATTAATAATTACGTGAGCTACCCAATTTAATTCAACTTCTGTTAATGAAGGAGCTCACAAAAATATGGGAAAGAACAGTCTCCTGTTTTGTTTATACCCAAACAGAAATTAAATTTCAAAATGCATAATCAAAATTATTATGGTCTACTAAAACTTTGATCTGCTAATTCCATTATTAGGCACTTCTGCAAATAAAATCAGAATAATGGTTTATGCACAAAGGTATGTGTAGTCATTAAAAATAAAGAGGGATGAACTGGAATGACACAGAGGTCAAGGCAAGGACCAACCCTACCCTGATAATGTAACATTTCCAAACACCTGCACAATTAGCCTTCCAATTTGTCATCAATTTTCAGTCCTAATTCACTAATTTTCCCCACGTCTCACAGAAGCAATGACATCCAGAACCTGAATGCAGCATTAAATCAAGCAGAGATGAGACTATAAGAGTGTTGGCACATGGAATGCCACGGGTCAAACTGCAATAAATTTAATGGAAGGGCACCCTAATGCAGCTTTCTGAGACCAGGTGCTGGGTGCTCACAATTTGAAACAATAGAAAATTAGTGGTAAAAATAGGCATGGTTAAAATAAAACAAAAAAAAAAAAAAGGAGGGGAAAAAAAGGCAAGGTTAGTAGCATCTGGGATTCAATATTTTTGTCATGGTAAATTCCATTTAACCTCACAGAACAGTCTGTATGTACTTAATCCACCATTTTTCTGTCAATACCATTTTAGAAGTAGCTATCTGTAACCAAACAACCCTCCCATCCTTGAAGGAGCTATTCACAGCTTTTCCAAGAATGGCAGCTATTACAGGACTCTGATGCTTCTCCATTCTTTTCCCCTTAGGCATCACTCTCCGTGGAAGCCACGTTCATGCTACAAGGCTCAAGTAAAAGAGCATCCCAGCTAGACAGTAGCTACTCAGTGAATAATGAATGCTCTTTTTCAGCTACTGAGATACAAAATCAGACATGTAACAGGTTACAACTCTCTCCCACTTCCATGCTCCTTCTAGCATGAAAGGTCAGAAAAAGAAGCATTCACAAGGCACTTGAAGTGTGACAGCACCATGGGATGGCATCATAGTGTGGAGAAACAAGGCTGATAAAGTGTCTCATCCAGAGAGCAATTTAGGATTAGGAAGATACAAAGGTGGTTTAAACCACAATAGCTCCACCCCTTGCAATTTGATAAAATCTGGGATACAGCTCTTAGAAGGATGACTCAAAGTGTCTCACTCCTGAGTTGTCTCATACTGCGTCCTAAATTTTTATTTTCCTGAAAGATGACAGCATGTGAAAAACTAATGAGTAAGATCCCTTTGTATTGCAGAGGCCTGGTCCGACAGCAAATACTCAAATACAAGGTTAACGAGCAACTAATTATTAGTCCAGTTTGGCCAGCTGTCCCATTTAATTTTAATTTTGTCACACAAATTACAGCATAAATTTAAGAGATATTTATTAGCTGGAAAAAAGGAAGAATACATTTTGAGTTATACATACATATATAAAACCATTAAAAATATAATAATATAACAGGTATAGATCAACAAGATTGAAGTTAAAAAGTAAATTATCTAGACTGAGAAGGAAATAGGGGAATTTTTATGAAGACTGGTAATTCTGGAAGACACAAAGGTGTTATGTCATTGAGGTTATTTACCTTGGATTTCATTTCCTGGCTCGAAGTTATCAAAAGATACAGCAATAACATACGGTGGTGCTGATGTCTGTGGTTCAGCTTCATAGTTTGGCAGCAGAGAATCACAATCGATTGAGGTGTTTGTCTGTGGAAAACTGAGGATTCCAGGTAAAAATACCCCACAGAACAAAAAAACAAGGCAGGAGGGTCTCCTCATCTGTGGAACAAAAAGACAATATAGTTCATAGTAACTGCTTTTTAGTAGTTGTCATGTTTGACAAATATTGGCATTTCTCCAGGACAGGAAACAGAACAAGCCTAGAAAGCTGTGCTTGCTTTGCCTTCATGTATTTTGAAGAAAATACATTAAAGTAAAATACTTCTATACACTGGCAGAGCAGCACAGTAAGAGGCGCAAACAATTTCATTTTAAAGTACTGAGTTATTAATGGAACTTTAAATTCTGTGGTTACATGACAGCAATCCATTAACAGCCACGTCTGCTGCATTACACCTTTGAACTAGAGAAGTCTTTAAACAAAAGTTGCTCAGTGTTGCATTGGCAGATTGAGCTCAGCTCCTTGGTTATTCAAGAACTAAGATGCAATCCCTGCTCTCTCAAACTGGAGATGGAACCATGATTAGCATGCTCTCTTTTGACTGCTTTTCCTACTCCCAATTCCAAGATACAGTCAAGAAATCTAGTCAAATGCCCTGGAGAACTCTAGAAGTTTTTCAAATTATTTGATTCTTGAAAGAGGTAACAATAGACCACTGCAAAGTCCTCTGGAACTCCTAAACAATTTTAAAATACTAAATTGCTAGTGCATGTTTCCATGGGCAAAGAATAAACTATCCCCAGTACAGAAATTCACAAAATGTAACTAAGAGGTAGGACTCAATTCCAGCCTTCAAGGACTGTCTGTGAAAGGAAGATGTATTTTCTTTATAATTCACTTGTAGGACTGACACTGATTGTAAACTGTTTCCAAGAAAAAAAGGAAACATTTCCCAATAGTATTCTCAGTTGTTTAATATCAGATTTTATGGCCCATGTCCAAAGTCTAAATATTCAACCATGGCACCACATAATTTGCCAGGCCATTACATCTTACAAATAACTCACTGTTCCAGCTACAAAAATGCTGATACAACTTAAATCACAAGAAGTGATTATTAGGATTGCCTTGTGTGACACAACAGACAGTAGCAGAAAGAATGGAGATATTTACTTAAGATTTTCTAAAGCGTTTCAAACACCATTTATTTAAGAGGTATGTTCAATTTGTATCATCTACCTGTGTGTCTTAATTTGTGCATGAAAGTGTAAGACCATGTAGTTTTGCATGTGCTAATGAAATAAGTAACAGAAGCATCTGGAAGCAGGGGAAAAATACACAATTCCAAACACCCATGTTCTTAACTCTGAACTTAAAATTTTAAAAAGCTACTGAGTCAGCAAATAATAAAACAGGTAACTGTGAAGTGTTGAAAAATTTCCTAGAGGAGGAGGAGGAGGAGGAGGAAGGTTTGTATGGTGTCACAACCAGTCAGTGCAGCAATCAGGAAAGCGATACAAGCTTTAAAGCTTTAAGCATCTTTAAAGCAGATGAAGACTGTTCCTCTCCAAAGTCTCATCAAAGTGTCACTTAAATGGGATCCTGGTAAGCATTATGTTTCGGTATCAGTACGCTGGGTGTGGTTATCCGATCTCTTGTGACGATTTTGACATGGCCCACCTCTAATTAAGTTTTAAATACAGCATGTAGGTGCTATTATATCAACAGATGTGGTAAACAGTGATTTAATATGAACCTGTCCATATGTTGTTGAAATCTTTGTCTGACTCATGGAGAGATGGAAAAAAAAAAAATCTGTTTCTAATTAGATGTTCAATTTCAAAGCACAAAGTTCTTAGTTTAGCCAGGACTGGAAAACTGTCGGAGCGGCACTCTGCCACAAAAGAAAACCAGTCTGAAACATCCTTTCCTCTTTTTCCAGCTAGAAAAGAACCAGAAACACAAGCACAACAAGTTGAAACACGGCTGAGATGCCTTCTCTTTGCTTCAGCTCTCTGATTTAACAATTCAAGAGGTATCCTAGGAGTCTCATCATGCCATCTTTTGGAACTAGGTTTTAGATGAGGAAGATATACAGTGTCTTACAAACTTCCAAGTCCAGACTTGAGGCAGAAAATAATTTCCATGAGCCCTGAGTTCCAATACATATTTAATGCAATCACGTTATCTTGCATTACAAATTTACCTTTTCTCCACGAAAAATGTAAAGAAATAAAAAATAAATATTTATAAAATAGAAGTATAGGGAATATTTGTGAAATAGAAGCATAGGAATATTATTTTAAAGCTTCTAATTGGGTATAATTATGAAAAATTAACTGTATCCCCAGTTCCTTCATCTGATGGAAAAATTTTAATTATTTTTTATCACAGATTCAAACCTTTCTTCCTATGAGTCTATGTGGCCCTCATCTACATGGCCATCATCATCACCTGAGTTGCTAACTTAAGAATCCTCTTCCACATTTAGTCTAACACGACTTCAGGCCAACAATTAAGTCCCAGAGTGATACTTAGCTACTGTATTCAAAGTCTACTGGACTCAGGAAGACACACTTTGGTGGTTTGCCCCTCCAGAGCCTTGGGCAAATTTCTGAATGGAGACAAAAATTGTTTTAAAAGCTTTTAAATGTAGAGCTTTTAATTAATAGGATAAATACCTTTCTGTAATTTGAAAAACACAGTCCTGGCAAGTCCTGCCAACAGTTTAAGAGTAAGTCCTGTATGCCCCTTTCTAATCACATTCTTTACGAGTATTTTCTCCTTTCTTCTCTTCTCCTAGACACTCTTGACGAGCCACAGACTTAGTCTGTAGCCTTTGAGAAGAAATATCCCTAGTTAGTGTGACCCTGTCCACCACATCCCCACCAACACACCTTATCGACCAAGTGTTGATGCGTGGGCATCCTCCGGTCCCTCTGTGGTCAGTGTGGAGGAGCTGCAGCCGGGCAGCGCAGGTGTCCCAGGAAGATGAGAGAGAGGAGATGGAAGGCTTGGCCAATCCGTGGCAGGGCGGGGAACCAGCGTGGCCAATCCGGGCCAGCTGTGCCTCTGCCGTGGAAATTGGGACACCACAGGTGGGACTGTCCTGCCCAGAGCTGGTGGTGACAACACACTCCTCACCGGTGAGTCACGCCCCCTCTGACCTTTATCTAGGCATCTGGCATAGGAAGGGCCTCTGAGGGGTGGTAGCCTAACCTAGCGTGGTGACTAAAATCTACAGAACTGTGCTATACAAAAAACCACCTTATTAATATTTCCTGAGCACTTCCAGTAAACTATTTACATTAGTCTGTTACCTGAGAGTATTCTGCTGCTGGTTTTTCACTTTTTTATTTTCTCTTACACTTGGAAAAGACATGGAAAATTCCAATCACTGTAGTACTGCCAAGTGTTTTCTCAGAGCAAAGAATTAATGAGGCTGTTTCATGTTATGTACCTTGTGGGAAGGAACTGAAGTTATTGCATCTGATTTGCATTCAAAACTAATTTTTTTTTTCCTCTTCAGAAGCATTTCCATAAGGTATCTACTGAAGATGGGGAGAAGTCCAAAAGCTGGATGACATATACAATAAAATGGGTTATCTTCTGCTGGATGGGATCCACAATCCACATAGTCCAACTGCCTGACCACTTCAGGCAAGGGTCAAAGCATGTTGTTAAGGGCATTGTCCAAATACCTCTTAAACACTGACAGGCTTGAGGCACTGACCATCTCTCTAGGAAGCCTGTTCTGGTGCATGACCACCCTCTCAGTAAAGAAGTGCTTCCTAATGTCCAGTCTGAACCTTCCTGCCACAGTGCTGAACCATTCCCACATGTCCTATCACTGGATACCAGGGAGAAGAGATCAGCACCTCCCTCTCCACTTCCCCTCCTAAGGAAGTTGTAGAGGGCAATGAGGTCACCCCTCAGCCTCCTTTTTTCCAAACTAGACAGGCCGAAAGTCCTTCACTCTTCCTCACAGGACATTCCTTCCAGCCCTTTCACTGGCTTTGTTGCCCTTCTCTGGATACATTCAAAGACCTAAACAATATGACAGACATTCCTATTTAATCAGGGAATTCTGTGATTCTATGATACCAGGAAATCCACGAACAAAAGACTGTTCACAAGAACCTTCTTTAATTCCTTGATATTTGTGTACTTAAAATATATTTAAATTTAAAATGCTCACAGCATTTTTAGAACATTATCGATTTTTAAGGTTCAGTGCATTTAACTAACTGTCTTCTCTTTCAGTTAATCACTTTTAATTAATGAGTAACATTTTATTTACATTGTTCCATTATGAAATACATTGTTTCCTATCTGTACTATCCATTGGGGAAGAGATCATAATCCTTCTTCTCTTACTATACCACCAAACTTACCATTAATACCAATGTTATAAATAGCAATGAAAAATCATGCTGCACACCACAAATGCAACAGCATACCAGTAACACCACCAAATAAATTACACAGTAAAGGAATGTCAACTGCTCACACCAGAAACACATAACCAAGGAGATGGGATCTCACAAATACATGCATGCAAAACCTCCCTCACTCCCAGCCTGGAGATACTGAGAGGTAAGCAGAGGGATCAGAACTGTTTCTCCAGGCTACTCTGAGCAGCAGTGAGTACTCCATGAATATTTGATTTGACAGGCAGATAGATAAATGTCAGGCAATGAATTGCTGTAATCTCGGTAATACGGTTATAAAGAAGCACAGATAAGCAGTGTACTTTTGCTGGCTGTGGTGCTAATAAAATCCTACATTAAATAAGCTGGTAAGGACTCAGACCATTAGTCTACAGTGTGAGAGTTGTAAACCTGCGTCCCTCTTACACAACGCACTGCTTGCGGTTTGTTTCAGAGGAACAGTATTCCCACCGAATCAAACACAGAACACTGATTCAGTACTAATTTACCTGTACTGTGGAATTGCCAATTAAAAAAAAAAAAAAGTCTTTTTCAGGTCTCCACACTTGAAAGGACAATTTTAAGATCATAAATGAAATACCAGCTGAAGAAGGGGTGAACTCCTGACTCTAGTGAAACCGTGATTACAAAGTTTGCTATGTACTCAAACTACTGTGCCAGTGCAGATCAACACTGCTGTACGCCCATGGACTTCCCTGGTGCTTGGAATGCCTTCAATGCAAATTCTCGTGGGAATATTAGCGCCTTTCTTTTTTTTTTTTTTTTTAAATACCTCTGATTGTATGGTAGCCCATTTAGGGTAAGCTGGTCTTTCTTTAAAATCTTCACATTAGAACAAGCCAGGGAACACAGCAGAGAGGCCAGAGCCCACAGCACTGAAAGGAAAGGGATGCCTACTGGGCAGTGCATTAAAATTTTAAAGGGTACGTGATGGACAAAGAGGAAACCAGCTACTCACCTAAGCGAAAGACTACCCTGTGGAATAAAGGACTGCAAACCCTGTCAGATTTTCCTAGAACTCTTTTGTTTCTGTTTAAAACTTGTTTAAACCAGATCAGACGAAGCAGCCCTCTTCCTTCTTCCTCACAGACATTAGGACTTCCCACCACCTTCGTGACCTTGAACAGCTTTACACTTAACTCTCTGCAACACCTGAGCCAAAGATTATTTTTGTTCTGGCAGTTTACATTTCAACTGGAAATGCTAGAAAGCATAACAAAGCTTCAGCTGATGCCAACAGATACAGATGAATAACAAGGTAAAATATGTGAGTTATTTTCATCAGGGTCTGGTATCCTTATCGAACTGATTTGCTGTTTCTGGTCCGCAGTGGTGATACACCACTGAGCCTTGGACTGTGCAGGAGAACTGATGAGCTATTTGCTTGGATACATCACATGTGCTGGAGACAATGAATGGTACAATGGTAGCCACTCCAAAATCATTTCCAAGAAAATGTGCATAACAAGTGGTCTTACAGGTATGAAGTGCTGCGTTTAGAACCATAGACATCTTTTGTTACGTAGTTCAAACTGATTCTGTGGAACAATAAAAGTGAGTAGGAAGGGAGAGAAAGAAACTTCATCTCTTCCAAACACTATTTTTCATGATTCTGAAAAAGAAAACAATTTCTGAACATTAGGGTTTAGAACATTCTGAACATCTTTACTCCTCTTGAGTGCCAGCTGCCTTGCCAAACTCTCCAGTCCTTTTTTCGTTTCCTCCTTACTCAAACAGGGAAGACCAAAAATAATCCCTATAATTGTTAAAAATAAAATTTGCTCTCCTGACATCTTTTTTGACAAGATGAGAAACTTCTATAACATCCCACATTTCATCTGCAAATGAAAGTGGTTTCCTCCATGTACAGTATTAGTGCTAGAAGAGGATGTTATCACTGCTGCAATCGTCCAGCACACTTTCTGCGTATAACTCGTAACCACTCAACTGAAGTTGTTTTGAAACACATTCTAGTCTAAATTTAGTGGTGAGGATTCTTAACAGCTATGTGAATTGTATCAAAATGATTAGATGAAGAGATAGATTTATTTACTTTTCCTTCAAGAACAGTGTCTCCTACCTTATACTAACATGTCAGTATTTATATTCTGTTTCCAAGGCCTTTAAATATTGCCACATTTTTTATTTATGAAGGAACATTTTGCTTCCTATGCTCAATAAATAGATTCCCTTCTTGAAAATGGACCAACATATCATCTAGTAGAATTACGTATTGTTCAAAATAGCTCTAGCTGTAAATATAGTGTTATTCATCAGAAAAATAATATTACATTAAAACAGCACACTGTGAGAGCCAACTAAAATTTACATAGTATATTTTGCACTCTTAGGGAAATATATTAAATGTAATTCTCAATAAACATTACTTCTAACAGTTCAGAAAACCACACTTTTCCGCGAAAAAAAAAGATATTAAAGTTACTGTTTTCCATATATTAAAAAAATTCAACTCCTTTTTGTCTTTAATTTCTTGCCTTTGCTCATGCTAGCACTTTTCCTGTCTGATTTAAACTCTGCCAGCATTAGTGTAAGTCTGATACTCCATAAATAACGAAAATGGTTCACACCCTGAAAGTCCTAGTTAGATGATGTCAGTGGGAGCCTTACATGAGAATTAGCGAGCAAGAAAGAGGTTTGACTTGACTACAAAAGAGTAGGAAGGGAGCGATCAAACGGATTACTTCTACCAAACCTCTTCTGCCACAGTGGATGTGGGCACGACTGTGCCCAGCTCATGGTGGCCACGCTTTGTGTGCTGCTCAGGAGAAACCCCTGACAGGAGCAGCACACACAGCAGCGGTGACATACGGGCATTGCATCACCTTATCTCCTGCATTGGGCAAGCTAACAAACACCATTGTCACTATGTGCTTTTAAGGTGAGTGCTTGGGTGTGGCTGCAAACTTAGGCAATGCTTCGTATAACTTCATATAATGTGGCTACCATCTGTTAGTGGTTTACCAGACTCTAAATTCAGATTTAAGTAAACCTAAACATCTGTCAGTGGAATTGAAGACGTGGTAGTAGAGGCATTCCACTACCAAAATATGCAGTCCAAAAGAAAAGTGGAGCCTTAACATTAACAATCAAAATTCACTGTTTTCACAGTCACAGAGAAGTTAAATGATCTCTCTTACTCACATCACCCACTGGTATTACTGAAACATTCTCTTTTAATGTAGTTTGTATATATAGATCCAGAATATTTCAAGTACAATTTAAACATGTTTACAGGCTATTCACAAGTCCCTATGGCCTAGAGAATTCCCCTGCATAGTACAGTGAATGCAATGCACATACATGCATGTGTGGTCCTCTTGTGAGTGAGCAGCTAAGGTTCAGAAAAGTAAGTCCAGCATTAGAGCTTCTACCAATCCAACAATATCAGTTCAAAAATTGCATCAGCTAAATGATACAAAGCTAACTGGTATAAACTCACTTTGTTGATGCACCCT